CATGTTCTCAGCTCCATGTTCTCAGGTGAGCTCCATGTTCTCAGGTCAGCTACATGTTCTCAGCTACATGTTCTCAGCTCCATGTTCTCAGCTCCATGTTCTCAGCTCCATGTTCTCAGCTCCATGTTCTCAGCTCATTCTTCTGTTTCATTGAGGAATTTTCCAGCTGAACACAGGTGAAAACACAAAGATGATCACTGACTGTAAATTAAGATGGGTATCCCAAATACAGTCGCCACCATCTTGCTCTTGATGTCATTTGGAGTCTATGGAGCTGTCGTATCAAGATCTTGCTGATACACGCTCTCGACCAATCAAGAGTCATTGCCAGCTGTCAATCATGAAGACTTTTCTTTATCATCAAATAACTGATTGAAACCAAACTGATCAGAAACATTTGAACAAACATCAGAGAGAGAAGAACGAGCTGACATGACAGAAACCTATTTATCCACAAAAAATCCTGCAGCTCCTCACAAAATATAAAGAGTTTAGTTTCCAGTGATAAATGAGTAATGACCTGTCGAGTCCAAGAAAGGATCAGGAAAGAATGAATCCACTATAAAACAATCTATTCATTTATTTGGAGAACATTCAACAAACATTTTCATCCTGTGAAGAGAAGCTGTTTATTTCTGAAGCTGAAGTCAACGACAGGTTTGTGTTTACGAGGCTGTGATGATGACGTCTGTGTGACTGAGAGAAAAGAGCGAAGAAGAGGAGGAATGAAATTGTTTGTGAGAAGTTTGAGTCTTGTTCAACCAGAGGAGACGTGAGTTAATATCACATGAAGAGTTAAGAAGCTGTTGCTGCTTGTCTTAATTCTGTTTATCTCTGCTCTGGTTTCTCATCATTACTTAATTAACTGTCTCTTTGACTCCGCTCCGCTCTGTTCGTCAATTATTTCATTTCCGCTTCGGCTCAGACCACACGCCAAACCAATAGTTCCTGTGGCGCTGCTGACGGGCGACACTCAGTCAGGTTATTTGTGTCTGATCCTGTCTTTTCTCTCTTTTTCTTTTCTTGCAGGTGTAGCCAGGAGGATTCGTCGACTGCCAGAGAATCATGGAGCCAGATGTGATACGCATGTACTCCTCCTCCCCGCCGCCAATGGAGGACGGTGCAGAGGAAGAAGAAGACGAGTTTGGAGACTTCGGCACCTTCTCTGCTGTCCCAAACAGCATCAGCCTCACAGAGTTTGACACCCCCACCACTTTTAACCAGACCCAAGCTCTGACTGCCACCTCCCCGCCCGAGCTCATCAACAGCAGAGGCGCAAAAGGGTTTGGCTCTTCTAATGGCACCTGCAGCTCCACTAATGATCGCCCCAAGGCTAACGGTGTCGTGCCAACTAGCCACCTGGGCAGTTGTCCCTCAGAAAGAACTGAGACAAAAAAAGTCCTGTTCTGCTCCCCGGAGTTTTCCGTGAGCGACTCAGTTGGCGGCGAGCTCGCTGACTGCAATGGTGAAGGCACAGCGGTGCTAACAAACGGGTTTGACGTTCAGGGAAGCCCCTCCTCGCAGAATTCTGTCCACTCTCATATAAAAGGGACGTCCACAGAGGACACTGGAAATATCCCGGTCAGCAGCCCAGCAGACGAATTTGCAGACTTTGCAGCTTTTTCCGATGCTGAAGGGAACGACGACTCGAACAATCCCTCAGGGGTCAGCTGGCTGGGGGAGATGTCCTGCCTCGACCAGCACTGTAATGCAGAGCAGGGAACGAGTTCAGAGGACACTATCAGGGACACAAACAGAACTGGACCCAACTCTGAATCTATATCTGCTCCAACAGAGGCCCTGCAGGCCCTGGACCGGGGCTCTCACACAGATGTTGCCTCTCAACAAAGGGATGTAGCCTTTGCACAGGAGTGCTCTGCCTCAGAGGCCATTTGCACTAATGAAGCTCTCTCTCTGAACGGGGTGGACGTACCTGACGGGGACGAATCCAAAGACGCTGCGGGCTGCATTGAAAATGACCTCTCGCCTGACGCGACTGCAGACAGCGAGGCGGGACAGTCGGACGAGAAGGGCTCTTGGAACGAGACTGAGACAGAGACCGAGACGTCTTTCGGCCGGCCGCTATCGACAGATGCTCTGGAAGAGTACGGTGACATCAGCACCACGGGCTCAGCGCCCTCCCCGCCCCTCCAGGGGGAGCCCTCCACGCCTTATGACCACAGCCAGCTGGCAGAGGATGACGAGGACTTCGGGGACTTCGGTGACGCTGATTCATTTGGTGGTCAGGGCTTTGCTGATTTTGAACAGTTGGACATACAGGAAGTTACAAACACAGACGAGGACAACGACTTTGGTGACTTCAACTGCCCCAAATTTCTCAGCAGCGGAAATAGGCTGAAAGATGAAGGAGGGTTTGCAAACTTCCCTGTCAGCAACAGTTTTGGTAACTTCAGCTCGGCCGTTGAGGGCGCAGACGGTGAGGAGAGTGCAGGGTGGAGCGCTTTCGGGGAGCAGGAGCAACAGGTGGAGGAGGAGGGGGAGTCGTGGGCGGCGTTCAGCTCAGAAGAGAGCACCACTCTCCCTGCAGAGAGCAGAGAGGAAGCAGAGGACATAGAGGAGGAGTGGCATGAAAGTGATGCTGCTGCAGTCAGCAAGGAAACGAGTAGGACGGACAGTCAGGCGGTAAGAGGAGTTCATGGCTGCTCATCAATACGACCGTGTGTCTGTTACTTAAAGGTTCAGTCTGTAAGATTTAGGTGGAAGGGATTTTTGGCAGAACTTGAATATAAAAGAATCCTCGTGATGTTTTAACTGGTGTGTTTCATCTAAATTGTATGAATTGTAGTTTTCTTTACCATAGAACGGGGGTCCTGTCTGTGGACGCCGCCATGACAACTGAAGTTCACCACAGATTCTATTTCATGTTGGGAAGGAGGGGGTGAGATGAGGGGTGTTCAGCTGCAACATGACACTTCACCTCTAGATGTCACTAAATTCTACACACTGAACCTTTAAGACATGTTAGAAAAATCAGATCATCCAGATCTAACAATCTGTCGCACAAGACGTAACAGTGAGAAGTTTTCACTGGAACTATTTCTTCAAGTTCAAGTAAAAAAACTTCACTGAGAGGAAATAAATAATGGATAAATTCCTCTCAGATTTGTGTCTAAAAGCATCAATGAAGGGATTATAATAATTAATAGTTTTAATCAGAAGCAACAACATGATCAATACTCTCATTGATACCTGTTTACAGTTATTGATCCATGATCCAACAGTTCATTGGCTGATACAAAAATGAGGGCTGGGGGGAGGGGGCGTGGCACTGTAGTTCCCACGACGGCGACAGGCAACCGGTTGTCGAATTTAGCTTCTTTCCCGATAAAAAAGAAATGTTGGCCTTGCCACGCAGTTACAGCAGATGAAAGATGGCTTAACATATTTGACCTACAGATGCCGCTATTCCGCCTCAATCCGATGCGGCCTTATTTTAACCTACTGTCTATGCATGCAGGGATGCGGAATATTTATTTATTTATTTATTTATTTATTTTCGGGGGGGCGCAGTCAAGGCGGGGGGCGGTGTTGTCAAGGCGGCCGCCTTAACTATAAAGCGCTGCTGGAAACCCTGCCAGTGCATGGTCATAGGATGTACGTTAACATGATGTAAATGATACGGCTTTTAAATGTGGTCAATATTAACATGAAAATGTGTTGTTGTGCGTTCACAGGGGCGTGAAGAAGGCTCTTGTTTGTGATCAGTTATTCGTGTTGTGTTCACTTTTGAATCTGATGACGTTTTATTTTAAAGAAAAAGAGCCACTTGAAAGAAGCGTGACGAATCAGGGAAGGACATGTGACACCCCCCCACAGTTACTAAACCAAAATGAGGCCAGCAGCGTTTACACAAGTCTTAAATTTAGAGGCTGGAAAACCCAGAGGAGTTCGGCCGCCAGACTTTACCATAGAGACGGACACGAGTTTAAACGACCACACTAATGTGGGTGGAGCCTCTGAGTTAAAGAGTTCAGTCTCTAGACACGACAGAATCTTTCCTCAGAAGAACAAACGTTCCACACGCTCAGCTCAGGAATCTGATCTGTTTGTCTTCATGTCATAAAAAACATTCCTGGGACTTTGCACAAGGCATCATGGGAGAAAAAACTCTGTTTGATTCAGTATCAAGACACTGAGAGCAGAAACAAATAGTTTCTGAACCAGTTGTTTGTCAAAGTTAGAGAAAGATGAATCAGGAAGTGAGTTGATGGCTGCTCTTCTCTTTGCAGGCGTCGCTGTCCGCTCGTCTGCTGAAGCTGTTTGAGAGCAGCTTCCCTCAGAGCACCGGCGCCGCCCTGGTGGAGGACGAGGTGGCTTCACTGAAGATCCTGCTGGAGCCTCCGGAGGACAAACAGCCCGGAGCTGAGGAGGAGACGAGGTCGACGTGCAACAGGTGAGTGTGACACAGTGTAAACACGAGGCGGGGCTGTTCCTATGACGACAGACTCATCAGCCTCTGCCCAGCGTCCTGCTGACCCTGAAAGGCCCCTCATCGATGCTCTAATTGGATGAGTCTGTTGTGATGACGTTATGTTGTAAATAAAGTTTTCAGGTTTCACCCTCGTGACATCATCATCAAAAACACTTTTACTTTGTATTTGTTTCAAAGCTTCAGGTCAATTCAGACTGGAGGTCAAAGGTCACCGACGTCACAGACGTGGATGTAAACTGACGCTTCGTTTGGTTCACTCTGTCTCACGACTCATCTTCCTCTCCTCTCATTGGCTGCCACAGGTGGGTGCATGGCGGCGTGTGGACGCAGCTTCAGGACATCAACGAGGCGTTGGGCCTCAGGTACCAGTGGGGCGGCTCGCACGGTAACAAGGTTCTGCTCTGCTGCCTCGGCATCGACACCAGAAATATTGTGAGTTCTTTATCCTCATCTCGTCTTGTCAAGAAGTAACGTTATAAATAAAGGTTGAGGTCGGATCTGTGATCAGCTGAAGCTACGTTACTGAAGCTGATTATTGATTATTGATGATCAGCTGATTGTTTCTGCTGACCTCACAGAGCGGGTGAGTCAGAGGCTTGAAGAGAGAAAACCACCTGAACAGTAATAATGTTCATCAGATATTATTGATGTCATCGTTGTAGCCAGAGAAGCTGATGACATCAGTGACTGTAAAAACCAAACAAAAAAAGTTCAGAGGCTTAAAGGCTCTGTGATGTCACATGTTCGATTCCCTGTTTACATGTGTCTGGTAAAAAGATGACGCTTTGGAGGAACTGTGGATTTTGACTGGCAGCAGCCAACAGCTCTGACTGTCATTCAGGAAGTGACAATCCAGAAAGTGTTCTTATTGGACGGAGCGTCCTGACTCAAGGCTCAGTCGTCAGACAGATGACTGGCCTGCGCTGCCCCCTGCTGGCAGCCACGGGTCACTGTCAAAGTGATGTTTTCTAACCTGCTGCTTTAACGTGTGCAGCTGTTCACGGGTCAGAAGAAGCAGCCGGTCATCGTGCCAATGTACGCCGCCAGCCTGGTGAGTCTCCGCCTCCTCAGCTCTGCACATGCTCCCTGCACCTGTCAATCAAACAGTCACATGGTAGAGATTTGAAAGAAACACGTTTTCTCAATTTCAAACCGACATGAAGGATAAAAAGCTTCAGACTCTCGTTTCTACAGTTTGAATAAAATGTATGAAACCAAACTGTCCATGTGAAATAAAGAACTGATGTTTATATCAGTGACTAATGTTTCGATAATGTTTGACTTTAATATTTATTCTGACCACGTTCAGTCCAGGCGTCACATTCTTCTTCATCCTGATGTCGTGTTGACGACATGACGACAGTCAGCACGTCACCTGACGGTTCCATCATTGGACTGATTAACGAGACGCTCGCAGCAGATCGTTCATCTTCTACCGGCCGAGACGTCTCGTGGTTCCTGTGGTCATCGTGTTCCCTGCGTCTCACTGTCTCGCTCTTTGTTCTCCATTTGCAGGGAATGTTGGAACCCACCAAAGAGCCTGTGAAGCCCGTCTCCGCGGCAGAGATGATCGCGTCGATCGCTCAGACGTCTCCGGTGCCTCCAGAGAAAAGCTCCTGTCCGTCAGACTCAGTGCAGGTGACGCCTCAAGAATATTACAACAAAGAGTTAGAGTCACATCCTGTTCAGGACGAACAAAAGACGTCAAACAGACATTTGAATCTGTTCGGGGTCAAAATAAACCAGTGTCACAGAGGAGTCACAGTTCCTGGTGTAAACAGCAGGTCTGTGTTGTTTGACCTCTCTCTCTCTCTCTCTCTCTCTCT